AACTTACTATGTACTAAGACTTACTATATACATTTTTATATAGCGAGTCTTACTATGTCACCCCTTTTTTTCTTTTGCTGGGGTTAGCAAAAGCCCTAAATGGCCTGTGTGTGGTCAGAGTGGCATGTCAGTCTGATATCATAGTCTGTCTGCATCTGTTCAGTTAACACTGACAGAGAACCTTGTGTACTCTGATAACCCACTTTCATACACATCACATATCACATCACAAATGATTGACACACAGCCAAAACAATACAGCTGTAAGGGCACATCCATTCAAGATCATCTTGATTTTCCATGTATTCTGCAGAGGTGAAATACACCTTAATATAGAGACACAATTTGTGATTGTGCCAAACAACCTGTTTATTTTTAGCTTAATAGCCTTGAAAATAATGTGATGAATATCTCCATGCTAAAGAATATATCTGGAAAACTATTCAAGGTGGCTACATTAGTATGCATACAAAAGAAGTGAATCACGGTATTCTATAATGAGTTCCTGACATGCATCGATTTATGGCCTCGGCACAGGTTTAAAAACAGAAGGGGCATATGGCGAGTCACCAAATCACAACACACCTCATATCCTGACACTATTCCCGGAGAACGCTGCCATCTATTGACCAAGTGCATGCAGTCTGAAAGCAAATGTCTCATTTGGGTAAAACACACACATTTCTACTTTACAGCTCAGGAGTGGTTTATGGCTTGTGAATGGTTTTGCATGTATTGTGATGCTATTTGATCCTTTAAACTGTGAATCACTGCCAGCGCCGCTCAGAATGTCAGGAACTTTCATCACAATACGTAAATCTGTTAAATCAAATGAAGTGAATTCACTTACTGGCACGATTGTTTGTCCACATGCCCTACCTGAACTCTTTTGAGAACATTTGAGAAGCTTCATCTGAATTCCAGTGTAGTCCGATATCCCAAGAGGCAGACGTCTGGACTTTGTGTAGAGAGAAAAATCTGTCCATTTGCTCTAGAGTGCAGCCTAAGTGCATATGGGGAGACAGTAATGGCATACAGCTAATAACGGCAAAGCGGATCTCTTTGCAACCCATCAAAACAAACACAACCCTCAAATGTTGATACAATGTCTATGTCTTTAATACACATAGACATACTGCTCATCAACCACCATCTCTGCCTCCTTATATTGTTAAAGGTAATGGGTGCTGATCAAAATGATCACTTCAAGTCCCCTAAATGGGTGCAAGGACCAAAACTTAAATGCAACATCAATGGAAACAACGTAGGAAAAGCTTTAATTAAAAGCATTAATTATTAACTGCCAATCTCAGCACAAAATAGCAGCTAATTATTGTTTAAGTGATGCCATTTAGTTCTTTCCTCTGCTCAGATTATTTATTTATTAACTCTAAACCCAGAGAAAAGTTATAGCGTGTCAAGATTCTTGCACCTCATCATGATATGCAAATATCTAAACCACAGAATCAACTCTGCAAATTTAAACAAGATCTAAAGATAATCGTCTCATGCATGTTTCTTTAATTATGATGCATGAGACTTAAGCAGTTTTGTTAACCAAACATCACCTAAATATACAATTTCAGATATGGCCTGCACAAACCACCAGATGATGTATTGCTGGAAATGTTTTTGTAGACAACTGGCTCCTGTTGGGCTGTTTACCCAATGATGGAGCACAACAAGGTATGGCAAACCTTGTCGATCAATACTTGACATCCTGCCTGTAAGTGATTTTCCCCAGCACGGATGGCTCTTATTTGGAAATCTGGGACATTTAATAATAGTACATCGCAGGGGGAGTGGAGAGCATTAAGTTTCACCAAGCAGGGAAACAGACGCTGATTATGCTCCCAACATTGGGAGGACTAACACTGTTCACCTGCTGAGGGGAGACTTGCACAATGATAAGAGGTATTACCAGGAGACTAAAACGTAAGGAAAAACTCATTAGGTGTAATGACGGGGTGCAGTCCTATATCCTTCAGTTAAACACATAATTACATCAGATTTATTTGACAGGATACAGGTACTGTATACAGCGGTAAGTGTACACTTTACAAAGATAAAGGGCATAAATAGCACATGCACATTAGTAAGCCGTAAGTTTTTCTTCCTTTTTGCACTTTGTAAAGTAGACGTATAGAAATATTGTAAATATCAATATATACTAGTTCATTTTCAAAGCTACTAACTACTGCTTCATGTTATTTTATACTCTGCCATTTAGAGTATGTGTCGCTGGCTGATACAGAAATCATCTTGGACTTTTACTAACAACTAGCAACAAGAATGTAGCAACATATAAAAAGTTTACTTTCTGTTTTAAATTTTTAAGTGGAATCAAATTGGCTGTACAAGTCATTTCAATTCAGGTCATTTTGAAAAGTTATTCTTGTATAACTTAAAAAATGAAGAAGAAATTGGTTTAAGTAATGGAAAAACATATGTTGCCATGACTTAATTGATCATATCATTTTTACAGTGTGTAAAAGTGTCAGGCATTACTGAGGGAATAGGAGTAGTATTCATGTGATCTCAATATGGCTGCCCCCACAAGCAGACCCACTCCATGTAAAATAAAACACCTTTTATTAGACTGTTGATATCTCTTGTGTGATAAAAACTCATTCATTTTTTTCATTCACTGTTTAACAGACATTTTCACAGCATTTCTGAATTGTTGGGTTGCATGTGGAGTACAAACAAGAAGATAAACATTTAACTTACTCTAAGGTGTTTTATTTAAAAATCCTTACACATATTACGAACCTCACCTCCAACAAATCAATAACAGGCAGTCACATGGCTCTTTTATGTCAACAACAGCTTATACCTAATTTCCTGTGCATTTCCACTGATACAGCAGATCCATTCAGTAACTCTGTGACTAGGGTTGCAAAAAGGTGGAACATTTCCAGTACATTTTGGACATATTCCAGAAATTTTGGAAACATTCCAGGGATTTTTGGAAAGTTTCCGGAAATTTTCCATCCCTTTGCAACCCTATCTGTGACTAACTTTTTCACAGCACGAATGACCCACATCTCAATTCCGGTCATGAAAGAATAACCCTGCTCGTATGTAAACCCCAAATCTGAAAGTTTTTGCAAACCACTCCCAAACAAATACGAATTTGCTTTGCAAAATATCCAGAGGGCGGTTCTCCTGTATAGCTTGTGTGAGCCACAATCACGCACATATACATGCACATAAGACTTCAGAATGTATTTCAGGTGGGAAAACATGATATTAAAGCAGCTGGATCTTCATTGGCAACAGACAAACTTCTGCTCTGTTTTAGTATACGTGACACCTGTGATGTTACAATCAAAGTAATACCGCAGTTCCTGTCAGATTTTCACTTTACTATACACAGAGTCACAGACAAATGATATCGGTGTCAGATTTCCTCTTTGCTGCCAAAAAATAAACGACAGAATGAGGGACTGAACCTACTAGCAGCATTTCCATGCTACGACACACAAAAAGCATTGCAAATCCAATCGAACATCTCATGACACGGACCAAAAATAGGACAGTAATACAGCACCACCGCTTAGCCTGTGTGTGTTTATTCAATGATTAACCATAACGCTAGCTGGATTCCCAGAATGTGAGCCGATAATGAAAACATCAATACAATGTGAGGCACGTAAAAGAGCGTGCAAGAGTGCATGTGTCAACAAACCATCAATATCACACCGTGACAATCTAACACTCTTCTTCAAACTAAAACACTCATAATATGCTATTTTAACCAAATAACCTAATCAGTATGAAGCCTAATAAAAATGAAAGAAACTTTCTGAACTCTTTTAAGCAGAGTACTATATCTATCTACATGCACACATACACACTTGTGTCAAAAAGTTGAAGACTTACAGGCATGTTCCATGACTGGAAGGATAATCAAAAAAAATCAACTGCTCCAGTGAGATGGTCCTCAGTTTCCCTTCTCACTCTTTCTCTCTGATTCCCTCTCTCTCTCTCTCTCTCTCTCTCTCTCTCTGACTCTCACTCAATCACTCTCTCTCCTCACTTCCTGTGGTGCTCTCGCAGCCTTCTCTGCAGTGGTGCGCGGCAGGAAGAGTGGCGAAGGCTTGAGGATGACAAACAGCCATTACCGCCATTAAAGTGAGCTGACTGAGCCAGTCTGAGCCCATCAAGTGGAACCTCCCAGTCCACTGGGGCTTTCAGCTATCGCCTTTGGCTACGGGGAATGGGGTTGAGGAGGAGGGGTGAGTTGATGTAGCGTGAGACAGCTCTGTATCTTTTATTAAATTACTCATGTCCCGCTGAAACAGATGACTCTAGACGTATCGCCAGCGTTAAGTTTTTTTTACACGCTGCGTGCTGAGGCACAAAAGTGAAGTGCTTGCCGGTGTGTGTGATGTGCTACATTCCGTCGGGGTCAAAGCCGGGCAGGGCCTCGCACAAGTGGGTTTGATGGCGCGTTACTCGTGGGTGAGAATCTGTAACAATTTCTTCCAAATCTATTTTCGTGTTGCAACCTGACGTCAAGAATTGGCAGCAGTTCAGAGAGGATGAATCACTGCTTGAGAGTAGGTTTTTAAAGCTCACCCCTGTAGGCTGACTGCTCACATGAACCTAAACATTTTCTTAGCATTGGTCAAAGCAACTGCAGAAGCACTATTCTCAGGACACATGAGTTCACTGGATGATATTGTATAATTCCAAATTTACACTGCAAAGGTGGCACAGAAATGCTTCTGATGTGTTTTTACACAGATAGTTTAATGCTCAGAGGTGGCATGAATGCATTTACACAGCAATTACAACTGTTTTAGCTACATTTAAATAAACAAATTTAGTTGACTAACTTTCAACAAAATTTATTTAAATGTAGCTAAAATAAATTGATTGAAACCACTTACCTTAAATTTTTTTTTAGTAAATTCAATTAATCATTTTTTTCGGTGTACTTTGATATAGCGTGTCAAAATATAACTTTGAGGTTTGAGGTGGGTCAGCACAGGCATAATCTAGTCTGGCTTTTATGGAGCATTATGCCTTTAATTTTTGTTTAAAGGGACAGGTTCACCCAAAAATGAAAATTACCCCATGATTTACTCACCCTCAAGCCATCCTAAGTGTATATGACATTCAGACGAATACAATCAGAGTTATATTAGAAAATGTCCTGGCTCTTCCAAGCTTTATAAAGGCAGAGGTTGTCGAGATTTTAAAGCCCAAAAAAGTGCATCTATCCATCATAAAAATTATTCCACTTGGCTCCAGGGGGTAAATAAAGGCCTTCTGAGGCGAAGAGATGCATTAGTGTAAGAAAAATATCCATATTTAAAACTTTATAAACCGTAATCTCTAGCTTTTGCTAACTGTCGTACTTGCGTTCACATTCCAGAATATGCTAGAATATGTTAGTCTCGTGTGAACCAAGTTTTGTTTACAGCTAAGTAAAACCAGTCTCGTCTTGGCTTATATCAAAATCCTCTGACATTTTTCTTTACAAATCCTCGTTTTGTACTTCTAATTCATGACCAGTGTCTTGTTTTGCTCTCTCCTCTGCACTTCCGCATTCGTCACTTCCTACTGTACATCCTACATCATACGCTGGAATGCCTCTCTCTAGTAAACGTGTGTATTAGTTAGCAGAAGCTAGAGAATACGGTTTATGAAGTTTTATATACGGATATTTTTCTTGCACAAACGCATCACATTGTTTCAGAAGGCCTTCATTAACCCCCTTGGAAGAAACAAAGCAGCATTAACTTGGCTGTGTAAAGACACCTTAAAGGGATAGTTCACCCAAAAATGAAAATTTGATGTTTATCTGCTTACCCCCAGGGCATCCAAGATGTAGGTGACTTTGTTTCTTCAGTAGAACACATATGATGATTTTTAACTTTAACCGTTGCAGTCTATCAGTCGTATAATGCATGGCAATGGTAACAAAATCTATGAGAGTAAAAAAAAACATACACAGACATAGTGGTGTATTAGAGGTAAAAAATTATATAAATACTGTTCGGTTTCTGGCACAAACCGATCGTTTCGTGTCTTAGGACATCAATGTGTCGTCACGAGCCGCAGGGTTTAATTTGGATTTGTCTGTGCATGTTTTTTTTACTCTCATAGATTTTGTTACCATTGCCATGCATTATACGACTGATAGACTGCAACGGTTAAAGTTAAAAATCATCATACGTGTTCTACTGAAGAAACAAAGTCACCTACATCTTGGATGCCCTGGGGGTAAGCAGATAAACATCAAATTTTCATTTTTGGGTGAACTATCCCTTTAAGTGAACATTAAGATGTTGTCAAATTTACACTGCAAAGGTTGCACAAAAGCATTCGGTGTTACATAGTTTCATACTGCTCAGAGATGGCATAAATGCATTTACAGGTGTATAGTTTGATTCTAGGGGCGTAGGTGGATCAGAGCAGCATATTGTAGTCTGTATTTTATACAGCATTGTCTTTCATTTTGAGCTGGCAAAGAGCAGCCTTAACTCGGCTGTGTACAACGCCTATAGAGGCATTCTACTGCTATCTTTCCACTTTTTTGCAGTTAAAAACATAGAAAGAATTCCAAATGGATTAGCTGTTTGAATGTTCTGGGCTGCATTGAAACCAACGGAGCTACAATCAACTTAGGCTTACGATGCTTTTGGGAAACGCAGCCCTGGATTCTATTCAAGTTTAAGATGATGCATGCAATTTTTTTTTAGATAAAGTTTTCTTTTATCCCAGTATAGCAAAGACAACTATATGTAAGACATTTGTGTCTAGATTCCCCCGAAAAGCTGTTGGAACACTGCTCTGTTTGTGAGCATTCTGACTAGTATATAATTGAGCTTTTTATAAATCCATTTGCTGACAGTAATTATTTCACCTTCTATTAAGATCTATTCAACAGCAACTGTGACATGCTGACATTTACCTAGAAAATCTGTCAGTACAGACTGCCTTTACAGTAATGCACTTTCAGCAGGCTTTGGGGTATTGTAAGCATCATGCAAAAGTTACCGCCAAAAGGGTTTACTGGTGCATAAAATTTTGCACAGTAAGGTTATTAAGTGATTTTATCTCACTAGTCTCATGTTAACACATACAATGTTTAGGTCTAGTAATGTAGCACAGGAATTTTGTTGTTGATTGGATTTTGAGATGAATGTGAGCTTGTAGTGGATTGTGGAGGGGCAGGGTTGAAGTAGATTAAATGATTGGAGAAGTCCTGCATACGTCACCAGAGAGAAGTATGTCATTTTCACCATACATAACATATAGATAATTCACAATACAATCTATAACATCAATACTCATTTTATACCAGTTTTTAAACAAAAATGAGTATTGTAATGGTTGTCATATTTCTCTTACATTTACAATCAGTCAAGCCTACTTGAACCATAAAAAAGAAAACAAAGATCTACTTTTTAATAACAAACACAAACATTTGAATCACAGGAACCTTATCCTAAAACTGAACGTTTGGTCCATAGTTTAGACGTCTTAAGTAGCAGTTAATTCTAGTAATCTCAACTAAGCATAACGCACATCAATGGGGATATTTGTTTAAAAAAAAGTGGTGTCAAAGTCCAATCAGCACTTCCGAGAGCAATTAATTAATGCTCCCTGTGTTGTTGAAACAGCACTATTGCTGTTACAAGATCATAGCAACACACAGAGATAGTCTTGTGTGCTTTTGGGATGTTGTGAAACTAGACTGTGATATTTTAACCCAGTCAGGTTACCTTTTGCTATTTAAGTTAACCAGTGCTGAGAGAAAAGCACATGGTATGATGGAAACATCAAAGTCTTTCAAGTAACAGCGCTGTCACTGATTTACACTGTATAAAAGCAACAAATAACGAACGTCAGGCACATTAACACGCAAACCAATACCTTGCATAATTGCTTTTTTAACCGTAACCATTATACCGTGACTAACCATACCGAGATATTGTCCTGCTGGTTGACTCATGGATAATGTGGTATGTCTCAAAACGCTCATAAATCGGTAAATAAACACCCTTTTGATAAAATGTTGAATAAATGCAGATGCCATCTTCTCAGCTCTAAAAATACAATGGAGCATAGCAATTACAGATAAAAGGCATGATGGCCCATCTTCACATGTGCTCTTTGTGTGTCTGCCAAGAACGCCCACACTGTCTGACGCATAGAGCTGCTTCACGCTCCTACCAAAGAGCAAGCTGAACATGAAGAAGAAGAAAAGGAGGATGGGAGAACGAGAGAAGGAGACAATCAGACCAGTGTACATAAAGGGCTCTTGTCAGGAACCACTGATACGCTTGGAATAGCTGCCTGGCAAGAGCATTCACGCTCCTATGAGAAAGAACTACATATACCTAAACAGTGATCTACTCTACAAAGCCTTGTATGCACATCATTGTCTAAATTCGGGTTAAGCCTTTATTTAAAGATGTTTACTTGCTCTATAGCTATTAGAATATGATATATTGTATACATGATAATCAGCATATTCCAAATAATCTAAAACAAGCACATTCTTCTCATAATTTCTTGTTAAAAATGCCGGCATTGGCAATTTATTAAGTCGTCTTTAGCTATTTATTCTTTTAAATAGCATAATGAATATGCTATTTATTTACATATATGTTAATATTATTTAGAATTTTCTTTTTAAATATATATATTTAAAAAAAATACTATTTAAAAGAGCAAAGAACATGCACTACTATTTTTGGAAGAAGTCTCTTATGCTCACCAAGGCTGTATTTATTTGATCAAAATACAATAAATATTTATCCAAAATATTAAAATGTATTTTATTAAAATGTAATTTATTCTGTGATAACAAAGCTATTACTCCAGTCTTCAGTGTCACATAATCCCTTCAGAAATCATTGTAATTGGTGATTTGCTGCTCAAGAAACATTTGTTATTGTTATCACTGTTGAAAACAGTTGTGCTGCTGCTATTTTTGTGGAAACAGTGATTTTTCAGGATTATTTGATAAATAGGAAGTTCAAAAGAACAGCATTTTTGAAATTTATTTTTTTTGTAACATTCTAAATGTATTTGCGGTCACTTTGGTTCGTTTTAAAGCATCCTTGCTGAATAAAAGTATTCACTTCTTTAAAAAAAATCTTGCTGGCCCCTTGCTGATTTAAATGGCATCATAAGTCATTCAAAGCATTGATTTACACTCATTTGCATCTACTTCAATCAAAAACAAAGTTCTCTCTATGTTCTTTAGCTTCTGTTTGAATCTGCTTACCTTTAGTAGGTGGGTTGTACCTAACTAAACCATTTACAAGTTATATGTTATACAGTGG